GATTTGAGTATTTTCTAACTGGCCAGGACAACCCACTAAAAGCATTAGACGATCAAATCTATTTTTCCAAGGCTCCTTGATTATGAATTAGTATTTTTAACAGAGATTAAATTTTAAAATACGATTTTTTATTAAGCGAAAATGTCAAAAGTTGACATATGACGTGTCATTCTATTCAAAATGTCATTTTCTATCGAATAAAGCAAAAAAATACCGAGGGTGTGATTTAAAAATTAAAAGTTGCAGTCATTTCCGGTGAAACAGGAAATGACCAAAAACAATTGAATACGTCAATCCGTTTTTTTATTTGAAAAAATAGGTGTGAGCCACTTTTGAGACGCACCCGGTATACTTTTAATGGCCCTTAATAAGTGATTTTTGTTGGTTAGCAAAATTTGATTTATTGATAAGTGTGGCTTTTTCTTGAGAATTTTGTTACTGGGAACTTTGAGCGATTTTTTTAGTTTATTTGTGGGTTTATCCTCCAACTCATAATTTTTAAATAATTTTTTAACCGGTCAAAATAAAGAAAAAAATAGATTAAAACATTAAAGTTTAAATCTGTTCGTGTATGGTGTTTTTTTATCTATTCTCCCTACAATTACTGTAATCATATACATTGAAATGTAAATGTAATAAAAATTGTGTATGTGTATATCCGGAAATAAATACTAATAATTATTTTCCAATGCCAGTAGCAGTTTTTCAACTTCGCGTTATAACAGCATTCACTTTAATTTTTAATTTCACAGATATTGCAGATACAACATTATTTGAATTATTTTAGAAAAAAAAGCTAGTAATTATTATACAAAAATATATTTTATTCATCTTTTCTGCGATAATTATATTACTTTTTAGTGTTCGCAATTTTTTTATATTTTGTTTGTTATACAGAAAAACAAATAAAAAATGCTTTTTAGTCTGTTTAGTTAATTGTCATATTGAATTACTAAATTTAATAAGGTCGTGGTGCTAACCTCCTTCCATACATTCTACATAGGTAGTAGATTTTACAAGAAAGAAAATCCATAAAAGTGGCTCTCAAAATTTAAATATTAAAATATATATTTTTGAATTTTCAAAGTTAAATAAATGGATTATTTTGGACTTAATTGAAAAACGGTAAATAGAAAACTTGTTTCTTTTATCCAGATCTGCCAGCACTGAAAATATTTGCACTTATTTAAGAGTGATTCACTCTGTATATATAAAGTTTTTTGCGAAGAATGCATTGTATCAAAATATTACAAATATTACCAGTGCGAAAATATATTATTATGTTTTATAAATCATATTGTTCAATTGTAATTCTTTAAATATTCGTATCTCGATTATTTTCTATTGCTTTATTTGTTCAGTGTATTTTAATTTAAAAAAAAATCACGTATTCTCATTACTCGATTTATTGATTTGATATCGGTATGAAGACAATAACACAAACAAATATCTCTAGTTAAAAAATAAAATACTGAATTAAATCATTACAGCATTATTGAACTACTCGTATATGGGATATAGGTATACATAATATACCGTTTTATCGAATGAATGCAGGCGTTGCAGTAGGTTTAAATATAACAATTGAATTCGATGGTTAAGCGCTTATCAGTCAGTATGAAGAGTATGCTCCTGTGTTATACGAACTCTTTGGTCTTTGTTAAAAGTAAAAATTCCAATATAATAAATAATATATACAGTGTCTATCAGTGTCTATAAAATATCGTATGAACAAAATTAAAAGGCGTTAGTTTGGATTAAAAATAGCCATACATTATATTTACCATATATGTAGTTTTACATATAAAATGACAGCAGTCAATTTTCACGTCCACTCTGACGTCGTTTATTTTCCATCGGTTAATATCGTTGATTGAAAGAATTGGGAAGATACCCAACCTAATGAGCGAATTCGTGACAAGGCTGTTTTGATTTCCCCTTACGTCTCAAGTGCTGTACGGTGGAGCCACCACTCCTTCTGCGGCCAATGCATAAAACACTCATTTTCTCTAATTCGGCCAGCGAAGGCATATCGAAGACGGCGTGAAACTGAAAGCGACAGTGTTGCCAGAATATTATCTGTAATACATTTGACGAAAATATCTTTGAATGAAATATCCGCGTTTATGTATTGGAGATTTATTCGTGTTAAACATAGAATAAACAACAAAAATAAATATTCTAAATATAACATAATATTAAGTAATTTTTTTACTTTGAAGAATATGTCGATTTCATGAATAACAATAACAAAGTCAAAACTTGAAGGTAAAGAAAATCCGAAAAAATTAACGTCAATGAGTTGACATAATATGTAATTTGCTAAAAATTTTTGATTGATAATTTGTTTTAGCCTCAATATCAATCGCTAATCCTATAATCCTCTAGCACAGTATTACCAACTATTTTAATCGTTGTAGGTATATATTATTTTAAATTTGTTGAAATAAACCCTCTCTATTTACGTTATTAATTTTGTTTTCCTCGTTTATACATATGCATATAAAAGAGTTAATGTCATATCGGCTTTGAATGGGGTAATACCAAAAGGCAGAAAATGGTAAATATTAAATTTCAAATGCCCAAAAATTTTAAGGTCGAAATCAAATGTTTAGTAAAACATTTTAGGTGGTATTATTATCACATTATAGATCGGGTATACTCATGATGTAAGATTTTTTTTTATTAGATGATATATTTATTTTGTCATTTATTACATTATTCCCGTTGTTATTATATTTATTGTTATATATTTCCCCAGTTGTTACCCGTGTACATTCATTTTTAATTGATTTAATGAATAAAGAGTCAACTAGTACCTAATCAAAATATTCAGATAATAGACAAAATATATAAAATACAATGTGAAGCTTCATTCAGAACCTCGAAATCAGTGGAATAAATTAGTAGTTTCAATTAGCCGTAGAAGTTTGTTCACCTAATTTTGATGTAAGCATTCAGAACGTCATAATTAGTAGTAGTAATTTTCAATTAGTGGAAAAAGTTAACAAACTTTTGACTTTTCCACTAATTATACTTCAAAATTTGCCAAGAATGTCATTTTGGCCTTTGATTATCACCTGTCAAGAAAAATTTTGGTTAGAAATCAAAAGTTTATTGTTTTATAATCTAAATATTATGCTTTCTCTATGGATACAACAGACTGCCGCAAGCTATTGCTAGGATATTTTATTAATTTTAATTGTGTTTTTTAGACATCGTGAATGATCGTAAACTAAAAAGTATAAAGTGTAATTGAAACCATTAATTTATTCCACTAATTGGGAGGTTCTGAATGAAGCTTGACAATTGGTTGTACAAGGAAGATTAATGCTTCTGGTTTAAATAAAAATCTCTCTTATTATTTACTAACATTATATTTATATAGTGAATGCATACCTAAAATTAATTGATTTTTCTTTAACACAAAATTATTTAAAATATGTAATAAATCTTATTTCATTTGCGAATGATTTTAGAGACGGAATTTTTAACCGCAGCATATAAAAACATGGTAGTTGCAATATTAATAATTTCGGCTTCATTATGAGCCGTATTAGTATTGGTTATTTAAATTAAATTTGCATTTTTACTAACCAGTGTCTACAAGGACTACCAAAGAGTTCGGAACAGTTATGTTGTAACGAATATAAATATGATGTAATATTAAAAAAGTTTTGTTAGTTTTGTTATGACCACAAATGCAAAGTTTAAAAGGGAAAAGTTTAAAGATTTTATTTTATTCTTAAATTAATCATAAATTTTTCTGCCAAGAAAAAATGATGATAAAACAGTTCCTGTTGAACTTTTGGCACAAAAACATTTATGATTTCAGTCTAATGATAATAAACTATTTAGTCAACATGTTTAATTTATGTCAATGATGATAGGTATTGATAATTTCAATGCCAAATATTTCGAGAACCATTACTCGTAGTGATTTTTCCCAAGAGACCTTTTTTACGTAAAAAATGTCGTAGAGGTATATTTATTACTCAGTACTTTATACAGGTACGGACTAAAAGTTATTACTGTTCAAACCAGTTAAAAAATATCTCGAAAAATATGTAGGTGACGCCCTGTACAAGTAAGAGTCATATTGACATTAAAATCGAATTTCTCATGTCAAAAATCTCCCAGACACCAATTTTCATCCAAGTATTTACGACTACGTTACTTCATAAATTATTTGGAAAAAATTGAAATAAAAATGAAATTTCTATAGCCTGTCTCTCCGAAACTAAGCATTGTAGGACATACATTTATAAGAACTTTTTTACTTATTTTTATCTACAGAATATGCCACCGTTTCCGGAATACAGTTCGGACCACCCTGTATAAGGATATTTTAGTTTATTAATGAGTAAATGTTTAAATTTTGTTGAAATTTATATTTATATTTTGTTTTATGATAAATATCGATTAATTAATGCTGTAGAAAATTTATTTTAAAACTATAATGATTCATGTAATCTGATACATCAAATATTATTTTGCTCTTAAATATCTCATTGTTCTTAAATATATTTTAAATCATTGCCAGTTACTAATACGAGTAATGGGAGACACAGTCAAATTCTTAAGGCGCATTTTCACGAGTAAAGTGAATTGATCAAGTCACATCAGGAATTCAACTGACGTGAAAGCATATTCACTCGTGATATACATATACACATTTCATATCAAAAAGCTTCTGCTGGTTGTTTCAAAATGGCGACAAAACTAGCAGAAGCTTTTTCACATGAAATGTGTAAACTGGGAATATGCTTTCAAGTCGGTTGAATTTCTGTGACTTCATCAATTCACTTGACTGAAAACGCATCTTTAAGTTGAATCAAATATACATATATTTGTTTTAAATCAACCCATTTGTACACAAATAAATTTCTAAAAACCCTAGTGTGAGGTGCTTTTAGATGCTTATCTTACTTTGCTTAACTCTGTTGGGGTTGGTTTTAATGGCTTATTTCGACACTCATCCTCTTTTTCTTTTCATGTAGAGTATCCAGTAAATCGAACATCAAGAACCCCATATGCCAACAAGACAAACCGCTATCGAGCTTGACCAAGTTTCCCAACCCCATAATCAAGACACAGTCGTTGTCGAACACCTAAATGGCCAAGGTACGGCTTTCAATAGTTTCTTTTTTAATAATATACACACTAATTTACATATCTTATAAGCTTTAAGTTTCACACATATAAAAATATAATTTCAGTTGGTCCCTTGGGTTTGCAACAGGGAATTTTATAATTTAAATACTAACTACATATAATATATGGAAACCCTTTTTATCACTCTCGATATTTGTATAAAAAAGATTAAGGAAGGACCATATCAACAAACTTAGGTGGGACGCGATGAGATATTAATATGACTCAATTTAATTTCGGTTTTTCAGTGCCGTTCTAAATTTATTTAAAATGTGATTCACCCACTTTTTTAAATATTTTTTAAATAAAAAAAGGAGATTTAGCATGTTTTAAATTATTACAATTAAACAATTAGGATTAATTGTTTATACGTATTCAATTGTTTTTGGTCACTTCCTGTTTCACCGGAAATGACTACAACTTTTGATTTTTAAATGGCACCCTTGATATATTTTTACTTTATTCAAAATATGAACTTTTGACATTTTCGCTTAAAAAATCGTATTTGAAATTTCAATCTTGAATGCCGTGGCTGTTGTGTTAAGAACACCAATTTTGAATCAAGGAGTCTTGGAAAAATAGATTTTATCATCTAATGTTTTTCGTGTCTTGTCCTGGTCGGTTAAAAGAGGCCCAAATCGTATTTTTTTCATATCTCAACTTTTTCAAATGGAACAAGGGTGGCTCATTAGCATATTTGGAAAAAGCATTTTTTACGAATAATTTGGTACCACACACTTGGTATTTCGAGTCAAATTATGTTATAAAATGAAGCCCATGTTACAATTTCAAATAACTCATATTCTATTCAGAGTGTCATTTTCTATCTATAGTAAACGCCACGAATGTTTGGGAGTGATTCATCGCTTGATGAAGTTAGAATCGACACGCGCGCTATCATTTTTACATTAAAAACGCAAATTTTTACCGCAGTAGGTTTTTAAAGGCCCGGTCTAATAATCTGCCTGCGCTCCTTCTACTTATTCTAAAATGTTAGCGTGATTGACAAAGACGATACTATATCGCGTTTCTTTGACTGATTCGTTTTTGTGCGTCAGTCCATTGGTGTGCTTGCAGTGCGAACAATGGGACATTCCAGTTTATATTTATAACCAAATATATGTTTTGACAAGACTTTGACAGTTAAAACAACAAATTACAACAGATTATATATTGATTATTATATGACTTGAAACACCACGGCACTGGAATTAAGTTTTATATGACCTTGAACAGATTAGTTCACATGGTAGCGACCGATGAATCTCTCCCAAACATTCGTGGCGTTTACTATACCAAAATTCTTGACCTGAAATAAAACATCTACATATTAACATTTTTTTAACATTTTCTCTTTAAAAACTTTACACAACGTTTCGGTTAGGTGTATCACTTATTCACCGTTATCAAATATATAATCAGAAATAGTTAAATATAGTGCAAACAACACTGCAGCCATTAAACATTACTTAATGCTGATAATGGTATATAGCCACTTACAACCAATCTGGTATTCTTAGTGGACAATCTCACGTTTGACTCCATCCAACTCTGTCACGAGTGAATAGTTTCAGTAGTTTTAGGATTTAGTTTGTTTCATACTTGATAACGGTCAGTGATACGTCTGATCGAAACGTTGTGTAGAATTTCAAAAATAAAGATAAAGTCACTGTCAGAGGTCAAAGTTAGTCACTGTCAAAGGTAAAGTAACTGTCATTCCCACCTGATATTTTGTCAGAATTTATGTCAGACAATGAATCATTGTTTACCATTACTATTTTCTAACAATACAAACCATGTTGGTATCATCAGCAAATAATTAATTAATTAAGCTTCATTAGTGGAATAAATTAGTGGTCTCAATTACACTTCCTACTTTTTAGTTTACGATCATTCACAATGTCTAAAAAACACAATTAAAATTAATAGAATACACTATAGCAACAGCTTAAGGTTATCAGTTGTATCCATAGAGAAAGCCTAATATTTAGCTTATAAAACAATAAACTTTTGATTTCTAACCACATTTTCTCTTAACGAATGATAATCAAAGGCCAAAATGACATTCCTTGCAAATTTTGAAGTATAATTAGTGGAAAAGTTCAAAGTTTGTTAACTTTTTCCACCAATTGAAAATTCTTACTCTTACCACTAATTTCGACATTCTGAATGCTTACATTCTAATTAGAGGAACAAACTTCTACGCTAATTGAAGTCACTAATTTATTCCAGTAATTGCGAGGTTCTGAATGAAGTTTTATTCTACAATAATTAGTGTATTTTTTTCACTGTTTTTATACTAATTTTTTTTGTACAATATGGAACCAATACGTAGTAGCTCAAGGGGATCGAAAATATTTTCATTTATATTGGAAAAAATTGGCATGATGTAAATTTTTCCCTCAATGGATTTGCCATAAAATTCCCTTTTCAATAATTTCTTATTATTATATTCGTAGTTTTATATTTATATATTTAACTATATTTATTTGTAATAAAAATCGTTTAGAAGTTGTTGGTCAAAATTAATATTAATTATTATTATATTCGTAGAGTTTTATATTTATTAATTTTAAATATTTAATAATAATGTATAATTACTAGAAATTAAAACACATTATATTGCATGATCTACCTAACTGACGCTATAAATAGGTCTAGTTTTTATCCAGTTTTATGTGGCGATAAATAATGTTTATTTCCAAAATCAATATTTACACAGTTTTATAATGATTTTTTTTTGCTCTATTAGCACATTAAATCGTGTGGTTTAATTATATTTTCTAAAATATTTTTACGGTTAAACCCGGAACACAATTGCAAATTTGATAAACAAGTGATTCATTTTTAAGATTCATTTTTAAGCGACTTGGAGTGGATTAATTAGGTTAAAAACAGATCTAAAATATCAGCAAATAATTATAGAGCATCTCAGCACAGTGTGCCACCATTCGACGTGCATAAAAAATATTTTTCTAGGTACACCGTATGAACTAATTAGATAGGTTGCGTGTTATATCAAACAATGTTTTCTAAAGAGATCGATGAAAGAAAACACACAGTAATTATTTAGTAACCTCCTTTATTGGCACTATAAAAAATTTAATCACTAATTTATATAGCCGACCTTTCTTTTTTATGCACCTTTTTCTTAGCACAGCCTCTTTAATACACAGCCAGTCGACTTACGATCATTTATAGTCTGTCCAACGACAAAATCCTGGCTGTCATTTTAAATTCTGTTTAAATTAAAATGTGGCTGTCATTTTAATTTCAAAATAGTTTATTTTATTTTAGAAAGAAATAAGTCGGCACAATTGGAACGCGTAGCATGAAATTAATATACCGGGTGCGTCTCAATAACTCACCCCTATAACTTTTTTGTTGTTTCAGATAAAAAAAACGAGATTTGGTATGTTAATATATAACATAATTAGGATTGATTGAGGTATTCAGTTATTGTCGATCACATCCTGTTTCACCGAAAATGACTACAACTTGATTGATTTTTAAATGACACCCTCGGTATTTTTTTTTTACTTTATTCGACAGAAAATGACACTTTGAATAGAATGACATATCATATGTCAACTTTTGACAGATTCATTTAAAAAATCATCGTATTTTATATTTCAATCGAGAGTGCTATAGCTTTGTTAAAAACGCTAATTTTTAATAACGGAGTCTTGGAAAAATAGATTTGATCTTCTAATGTTTTTGGTGTCTTATCTTCAGTCAGGGTGGCTCATGAGAATATTTGGTTAGGTTCACACTTGGTATTTCGAGTCAAATTGTCGTTATGAACCGCATGGTACAATTTTAAATAAACCATATGCGAAAATGTCAAAAGTTGACATGTGATATGTCATTCTATTCAGAGTGTCATTTTCTATCGAATAAAGTAAAAAAATACCGAGAGTGCCATTTAAAAATCAAAAGTTGTAGTCATTTCCGGGGAAACAGGAACTGACCAAAAACAATTGAATACGTCAATCAATCCTAATTTAGGTCATATAATAACAAACCAAAGCTCGTTTTTTTATCTAAAAAAAAATAAATAAGTTATAGCGGTGAGCCACTTTTGAGACGCACACGGTATGTATTTAAAATTTGAATGACAAGTGATTTCAAAATATTGTAAAAAAACTGTATAGCACTGAAAAAATCTGATCGAATCATTTTTTTTAAACTATGGTCTGTGTGTTTTTTTTTAATTGGAGTCTGTATACAAAACAAGCAAGGGTGTATATTAAACAAAACACCACATACCAAAAAATTAAAAATAACTATTTGTTAGTTTCAAACTTTAAACAAATTCTTGAAATTATTATTATATTTATCAATATAACTTATGTATAAATATTTTTTTTAATATTGCCCAGGAATAAATAAAACAATATAAAAAAAAATGTTTTATTCAATGACTAAAGAATCCAAGGACAAATAACACCCGAGAGCAAATTGTGACGATGCTATCAAACAGTGCCGTGGCACATATTTTGCTTAACCTAGCTGTTTGAAGCAATATTTATATTTTTTGATAATTGTTTTGACTACGCCTATGGTGTATCATCCTAATTAATTACGAAAAAAATGTATTAAAATGTTAACAAAAGGTACAAAACTAGTATCGACGTATAGCACATATCAAGTACATATAGATATTAATTGAAATTGAAGAATAATTATCGAATTCAATAAGAAAACGCTAAAAGGTTGGAGTGGACTGTTTATTTACCTATGAAACGTAACTCCTGGCTCTTTATTATCGCTGCTACTTTTACACTTGAAAGCTGAACAACTAATCACCAAAACAAAAAAAAGGTCACAAATTCTGCTGCAGCCCGTATAGGGGCGTTACATGTCCTTATATTCTTTAGTCATTGGTTTTATTAATAAGAACATTTACTGAATTTTATACCTAAAAGTTGATAATTAACTCTAATCTTATTTTTTTAACACTACTTTTT